ATTATTGGGATTTGGTCATTTAGTGCTCAGGAGTTGATATTACTCTCTCAAGCATTTGTGCCAGCACTTCCTTCACACATGGCCCAAAACACACTGGGATTAATCAAAGGGATCCCAAGACTAAGAGGGAGACGTCCAGCCAGGGTAAATCACAAGAGCCCAGCGAGGCTGCTGTGGGAGGAGGCTTTCTGGAAAGAACACGTCTTCTCTAAGAGAGCTTGGATGAAGGGGGTGGTGTTGAAATGAAAACAACAGACCCAGAATGTGTGGGTCAAAGGCAATAGGTAAAATATATAGAGAGATTAAAATATTTTTCTTTGTTGCTCAGTGTTTGATATCCAGACCAAAAAAGCCAAAACAAACCAATCGAACAAAAAACCACAACAAAAAGTACTAGAGCAAATAATTCCATATCTGAATTTTCTCATATTGCTGAGACAATGATACTCTCCAAAATATGTTTTAGTTAAATGCATTATGGCACTGGGGTTAACAACACGTTTCCCTAAAGGAAACTTGGTGGTTTGTTGTCCAGAGACTTCACTGTTGAGTGTGAGCACGGTATAAAACATAGGGAAGTGCTGACAAAGAAACCAGACTGGCACTTGGGAGATTCAAATTTTATTCTCCAGTTTCTCCAAGCAAATAACTTCCCAGCAATTCTCTATCTCTTTCCCAGCACGGCTGGAAGTTCTTGGGGTTGTGGACTTCCTCAGCCGTTACCCAATGCCCAACATAATGAGACCCCAAGTTTTTATCAGGATCTTTGGTTAACCATGGCACACAAAGGAAACAGTATTTCTAAGGAAGGTGCTCTGCTGGGAGATCGAATACAAGAAAATTAAATGAGAACTCGAAGGTATCCCAAGTGCCATCAGTTCAGAGTCCAAAGGAAAAAAAACCTAATAAGATCAGGCCAAGCCTTTTTCCTTTAACTGCAAAGAAAAGCAATCTTTATGAAGTGATAAAGCCATTCAAGAATGGCTGCAGTTGTTTCTTTTAAATGAACCAGAGAGAACAGATGGTCTCCTCTCATATTGTCACAGAGGTCAAAATTAGCCACCCCTAAGACTAGCAGGTTCTTGAAATGCTCAAGTGCTTGTGTCTGGTCGTTATGACTAATCCAGTCTCCAGAACAAGAAAGGGCAAATGAAGAACACCCCTCCAAATACTGCAACTACTCCTAGCCATGGCTGATGTGTAATGCACTCAGACATGGTGTCAACAGCTGCTCCTAAAACCCAATGAGTCAGCCTTTCAAAAGAGCTTGTCAGCTCTCACTGTTAGAGCTTTCATACAGATTATATTTACTCCTCAGTGTTTAAAAATATCCTTCTTAAACATTGAAAATATAAAATATTTTCCTTACAGATTTTGTCCCCTTTGCCCAGGCAGCTGCCCAAGAATGTCTCATTTATTTATCTGGGAGCAAAACTTCCTAGCCCTTATTTCACTTTCCTCTTCACATGCTCATATCTAAACCAAAGGCAGGCCTCTGTGTCTGAAGTCATGTACAAATGAGGAATTTTTGGTCCCTTTCACAGCTTATGCCTGTAAATCACAGTCAGCTTTCCAGAGTGCTGCGAGGTCAAATGTTTTGCCCAACAGGTAGAGTCCAGAGACATTGGGTGACTCTGATTTGGTCCTACAACAGCCATGTGGGTACAAATCCCCTATCCATCCCCTACTCTAATCACCAATCTCCCTTAGATGCTGTCATTTAAATAAAAAGGCCTATTGGAAATGACAGGTGAAGGAAGCAGCCCAGGCATGAAATGCACTCTAAAGTATATTAATAGAAGGTTGCCAGACAAAACGGCACAAGGCATTTGATCGCATCATCTTAGGCTTGTTGTTCATGCTCCTTTGCATCTGGCTGCGTGATTTCTGCCAGATTCTCGGCTGGAGGAGCAGGCCAGGATTTGCCTGCCTTCCCTAACCCGTGCCGGGCTCAGCTGCAATCATGCAGAGCACTGAAATAAATCCCTTTGAGTTGGGATTCATTCCGAACATGTAAAACCCAAATGACTGCTTCTCCAAAGTGAATCCCATTTCACAGCAAGTAGGTTATTAGTGTGGAACTCCATACAAGTAGCCTGCATTCAAAAGCCCTCTGCATTATTAATAGAAGATGAGCTTTTGACATCAAAGGAGAACCATTATGTATGCTAAACGGTGGCAAAAATTGTACCCGCACTTCAAACCTTTTCAGTTCTTTGTCCCTTGTAAATCAATCAAGGTTGACAGATGCTTTAAGGAGAGTAATCTTTTCAATGATACTGTCAATGGATAGCATAATGGAACATTGTCTCTGTGCTGTGTGAAGACATGGAGCTAGTCAATTATGGACAACACTTCATGCAGCCGCCAGTTTTCACTTGAAGTGCTGCTGTTGAAGTATTATAATCCCAACAAATGGCCGCAGCAGCATACAATGTAAATGAGACCTCCTGAAGCTTTGGAAAATTAATTAGTAACAACAGTGGTCCATTCCCACACTTTCAAACACCAGCCTGGTAACGTTAACGATGCACTTCCCCCCCTTCCCTTTGAGCAGGCAATAGGGCATATTTACATACACTATTTTAAGTCTTCAGCACATTTCCCCCCTCCCCTCAATTTAAATGCAGGAAGTTCTGGATTCCTTTCCTCTCTTCACCTGATATTTCCAACTGGTCACATAGCCCACATGGTTAGAGCTGAAAAGAAGAAAACAGACTTTCCTACTTGGAGACAGCAGGAGTAGTCACTTCACACACATCAGACAGCTGGTGGCTGTTTCCTTTTCCAACACTTATATCCACTCAGCTGCCCTGGGAAGAATGGCCTGGATAGATGGTGGAGAAAAGCTTCCAGCCTCAAGAGACCAGTAGGATGTTAGCTGGAAGACAATGGTACCAAATGCCAGTAGCACTGAGGTTGAACTCTGGTGCACTGGATGCCAACATATATATCTGACTGCCAGCTCCTACAGGAAGGAGATCGAGAGTCAAAGGAGAGAGACAGTGCTGTTTATTTAGCTATTGGCTTCCATTTCCCTACATCATTTTCTCAAAGATTTTCCCTTTGTCAACCAAGGCTTGTGCTAAAAGGAACACTTAATCTCCCACAGCAGCAGAGAGAAATCCCCACACCTGAGCACAAAATTTCTCAACTCGTATCAATTGCAGGTTTTCATTGCTATGATCTGTGAATGCCCCTTATATGTTATGTGTTTTTGAAACAACCAGGTGCAGATAAGAAACTCGATCACTGAGGTCTCCTTGGATAAGAAGAGGCTGATTCTTGGACACCACTCCCTCTTCCCCAGATTCCAAACAGCTGGGAACAGATACAGCTGCTGTTCCTCCTCATTTAGATTTGGTCTTCTGCACTTTGGACAGTTCTCTGAGAAACCCTTGCAATGGTTGACTGCAGAAAGCTGCACAATGTAGCAGTCGCCTGAACCCTCAAAACATACAGACAATTGTTAAACAAATCTGACAATGGTTAAACAATACTTTGAGACAATAGAGGAAGCAACAGAAGCCACACACCCTCCCATGCATTACCCAGACAGCTGCCATTGCTGATGCCAAGGAGGCCCCTCTTCCTCAGAGCAGAAAGGATAGAGGAAAGAATATCTTCTGCCTAGCCTTAGAAAAGTCAGAGACTGATTCAATCTTTTTCCCACTCTTGCATAAAACAAACTACCATAGAATAGAGAAATGAATGGGAATTGGGAGGTTTAAGGTCCTTCCTTCATTTTTCTGGATCACATCTGTCAAGAAAACAATGGCAGAGCTCTATTTCTACATTCAGTTCCCATCCAAACTCCACACTGCAAGATGCACAAACAGAATACAAAAAAATTATCTCCTGCATATTGATGAGAAAGCTTTAGGCCAGCATTCTTGCCATGATGAGAACGGCCTTTTCTTTCAATTACATTTTGTTTTGCTTGCAGACTTGCCTGCTTTTGTATCTGTTTTAAATTTTGTTTCTCTAGAGCTAAACACTCGGAATGGTGCAGGGTCCCTATCCTCCCTCTACCACCACCTCTGCCACAAGCTGGCTGGGGTGGCACTGCAGCAGAGGGAGGCACCATGACCCAGCTGTCCCAAACTCTGACGGGAGACACAGATTCATTTCTCAGTACCAGGAGGATGAAGTATAAGCAAAAAGGGGATGTCAGAGACTGAGCAAGGGAGAGCTGTGTAGAGGCAGCTTCACTGGGAGTTCCACAGATGTGCCAGGAGAAGCAATCAAGCTGTTGCAGGAAGTCTTGGGCGTTGAGTGCTCTACTTGCACAGCTTTCAGGGAAAACTGGTGCACAAAAGAGCCCATGGAAAGGGCCAGGATGTCATACTTGGACACACTGGACCAGTCTTAAATCTACTGATTTCTACACAGTGACTGCTATGGCTGTGTGCTAAGGAGCTCTTCTACTCTATTTGAAATATGTTCAAAAAACATATGCCCCTTTTCAACTCATTTAGAAGAGCTCGCCATTTATTTCCAGAACAGTTTTCCATGGTAATATCAAAGAATTTCAAAACCATACATTGCCTTTGCCACAACTTTTAACAGAAGATTACCTAACCTTTTTTTTCAAGCTAGTTATTTTTCTTTCTATTTGTTATTAAATTATTATTTAGAGTGTAAAAGTAAAATAACTGACAAAATAATAAAAAAGAATGGAACAATAAAGCTGATCCAGTTGATCAAAAGACAAAAGATCTGACAAAAACAAAGTGCTCCAATAATTCAGAACCTAAGGTTATAATATGGAAGATGAAGAGCCTGCTTTTGTTCATGTGTCTGATGGCATACATAAGATCACAACTTACCACTTCTGGATAAGGTAAATGTAAGAGGAAAAGTGGTAGCTAATAATAACAACATTTTTAAGTAGCCTTTTGTTAATACTGAAATAAAATTTACTCAATCCAGTAAAGCCAGAGATTTATCATGAAAAGAAAAAACCTTAAGAAAATATAGTTAAGAAAAACATTGCTTACATAAGAGAAGTCTTCAGCATTCTGACAGAGTAGCTTGGGAAAAACAGCCTGTCTCTGAAATCTTTCCTCATCTTCAAAGATGTTCCCATACATGAAGCCATTCATCATGGTGGAGTGGGCATGGATGTCAATATAGAACTCCAGGTTAATCTTCTGTTGAGGGAAACAAAACAACAACAAAACATTCAGCATGAGATAAATCATAACTGTGTTATGAAGCCTCCCATAAATCCAATACAGCCATTCTTGAATCTAACCATGGGGCCAGAGCCATGCTAAAGACACTGCTGTGATGCATCCAACCATTCATGCCTCTCTGTGGGGGCATGTGAAACACAACACAGGACCATGACAGACATTTCTTCACTGTTCTTGAAAATGTTGGAACATTGTGCACATGACACTGTGCAAAATAGAGCCAAAACATCATCCTTCACTGTGATACAGGGCTTACTGCCACTGATAAAAATGTGCACCTTCCAGTTCTACAGCACAATTATTTGGGCACAGTTTTGCCCTCTCTGCACAGCTCTGCATTGCAATATGCAGATGTACACTTCTGCCAGGTAAAACAGGCTCAAAATTGTGTAAAAAAGACTTCAGTATTTCCTGTGCAATTTATTTTTGCTTATAAGGAGAAATAACTGCAAATGTTTTGTCTTATTCTGCTTTTTAGTAGTAATTCAACAGAACAACTCCCAAAAGCAAGTGCCTTGAATGCCTCTCTGCTTGCAGCTCTCTCCGTGATTCTGCATCAGCTCTTGCTTTAAAAGAAAACAGTAGGACCCCCTGGCACAGAAGTGCCTGCTCTGCCCATACCCTTCCCATGTCCTCAGTGGGAAGCAGTGAATGTTCACCTTGATCACTGTGTACAGTGCCATTGGCAGCAGAGATAGCAATGCCCAGCACTGAAGACCAATACCAGAGCAGACTCCACTGGATCACCCGGTTTCCCAAAACTCTTTAACTTCTGGACTTGAAGAAATAATGTGATGTGACAGTGATGAACCCACTCCTGCCACCTGACCACCACAGCACCAGTAAGAGCCATCCTGGCGACCAGAGTTCAGATCTTTCTGCCTCAACAGAGGGATGGAGAAGAGCTCTGTTGGCAGGACAGGTGTTATGATGCTTATCCCTGTACTCCCTGGCAGCAAACATGGACCCTGACCAATGGAATACAACATGTAGCTCTGCAGACACAAGTCTTCCCTGCACACACAACTTGCTCAGGTTACTGGAGAATACTGAGCTACAAGGACAGTCCCATGACATAGGAAGGCAGTTTGTATTGTGCAGTTCATGTGACAGCAGTGTCAGCTCTTCTAAAGAGTCTCTGATGGGGGGAGGATATAATTTGGTATGTGAAACTAATATAATACAGATTTACTTTCCCTTGGCAGAAAACCAATGTACAATACACAGCGACTGTTTAGTTTAATTAAACAGCCTAGAGAGAGTAATAATGTATCTTATTAAGGCTCTGCTATGTTAAAATGTTAGCTAATGCAATATCAATATCTGACCATGCTTCATAGGAAAAGGAACATTTGATTGTGTTTGACTCTAATACAATAAATTGTTTGCTCCTGCCAAAACTTTATGTTGTGCTATAGAGGACCAACACTGCAATAAAGCACACATCTGCTATTTGGAGATACAGCACTGAGGAGAAAGATTAGCACTGACAGGATGAAACACCACACAGAATTTTCTTCCTCTCCAAGCATACAGAAATTAAAACCAAGATTAAGTAATACTATTTTCATGAGATAATTTCCCCATCACAAACAGAATGTGATGAGATCAGATGCACACTGGCATATCACCATAAAACAGAACATGCTGTGGAGTCTCAAAACAGTGATTTGATGAAGTGAGGAGATAATCTAGTTAAACTGGGTATTTGTAAAGCATGAATGTCCTTCACACAGAAGTCAGTGACCTAAGTCATACTTATTTTAGAACGAGGCAGAATTCTTTATAGGAACATAGTTACTAACATAAAGTAATCAAGAAGCACAGTGAGATATTTAACAATAGACTAGAACAATTTCTGTCTTAGGACAAATAAAAGTGCTGGTATAAACTCTATGATTTTTGGTGTGTCATAGTATACTTAATTCATCCATAGTTTTCAAGCTGTTTCCAAAAGAAGGTGAGATGCAAACAGAGATGCAGAGGCACAGATAACTAAAATAACTTTCCATAGGCTATCCAGCAAGAAATTCACCTGCAGAACGTGGGTGACCTGAGCCTCAGTTTAGTATTCAATTATCAGGTTATCCAGTTTAACATAGTATCACTGGAGTATTATTTTCTAAACTCTTCCAAGACACTCACTCAAAAAAAAATTGTTGATAAAAGTGTCACAGAGAATATTAGAAAGTCATGTGGTGTGGTGAAATTTCTTTGAAGATCTTTTTTGTTCATCAAAACCATTTTCAAATAATCTGGTTACAACGGTTGTTTGTGAGGGAACAGTGTCCTTCACACATATCACCCTCACCTAAAGACTAAGCTTCCAGATCTCTTATTTGGAAACCATGACATTCCACAGATAGCTCATCACCCAGACAGGTGTTTAAAAACATTTATCCAGTTATTAATTTCAAAGTATTTAAAAAGTAATTCCTTAAGTCAGTTCACAATAACTATTTAACTGTTTTTTCTGGTCTTTGTTCCTTACCCTCCTACAGAACCTACAAACCACTCTATTTCACATCTCCCTGAACACTAAATATAGTCCAAATTTGCAATTGTCCATCCTATTCAGAAAGTTTTTAAAGATTGCTAGAGTAATTTCGAGTTAGATGTACCACTTCCAGACACTGCTATGTGTGAACAGAACAGTATTTCAGTGTTTCACATTTCTTCTCCTCACATTCATTACTTTATCAAAGGAAAACATGATGAGCATTCTCCATTACAAAACAAAATAATCCAGTGCATTGTTAATATAACACATGAGTTCCTAATGGAAAAAAAAAATCCCTTTATTCTCAGAAACAAAGATATTGTGGCCTTAAAATGGACAATAACAGTCCAGTCACTGGCACACTAGAAGTTTGCTACCTTGTGCCTCAACTAGTAGACCAAGTAGCAGACAATTTGTTTGCACACAAGCTTCTCAAGAATTATGATATGTTCCTGAACAATAATGGTATTTCTTCTCTCTCTTTACAGTCATACATATTCATAGGCACTTTACGTGTAGGAACTGTTTCACCCACTGCCATTCTGCAAATTTAAGCTGGGAAATAAATTTCATATTTCAGTTGAGGCTCTCTGGAAGATTTTGACATAATTACTGATCTCCTGCAATTTAGGTAGGATCACAGAATTAACATTTTATTAAATATATAATGTCACCTACTGATGGCAATTTCAGAAAAGTCAGCAGAGGGATGACCTTCTGAAATTGTTTGTCTTTGAGATAGGGAGAATGAAGTAAATAAATGTACATGTGCATTTACAGGAGCACATACAAACACACTTAACCCAGTGCTATCTGCTGTTATACTCCAGGGGTATCTGGCAGTATGTGCACAGCAGAACCCACCCCCATTAGGGCTTCTATTGCAGTAGCACCCACAAGTAGGAATGGGAATAAATAGGGAGGTGTCAAAGTCTCACAGTAGCATTTGCTCCAGCTTTTAAGCAGAAGGTAATGAATAACCAGGCTCCAATATCTCTGGATGCCATAGCTGCCTTCTGAGAGACTTACCAGTGTCGTCCTACAATATGATATTAAAGTCATCATTTTCTGCTTTAGAGGTGGAATGCAAAATGATTCATAAGCCCTATACAAATCATAATGAAATTTAATTCTCTCAAGTGTCTTTTCTTTGTGCTTACAAGCAGTAGCAGAGTTTCTCTCCCACATTCTCTGTTTCTTAAGTAAAGCTATAATTACCTGGATGACCCAGGTTACACAGTTCCAGAAAACAAAGGCAGACTTGGTCTGCCTTTTCTCCATGTCTCAAAACAGAAATCATTTACTAGACTGACAGAGACAATGATTGCACCTCACTTCCTTAGAAAACAACAGTTAACATTTTCTCCCTTGAAAAGAATGGTCTTTATCTCTTCTTGCCACTTACCATATAAAACCAACATAAATAAATAAGCAAAGGAATTTCTGCTCTAAAGTTCATTTGAATCCCTACCTTTGTGACACTCACTTTCCACTGTTCTACTGAGTCAGTCTGAAGTTTCTGTCAGTTTGAGAAATATACATATAAATTAGGAGGTGAGGAAAATGAAAGAAATCATGGATTAAGGAAAAGAACTCACATATACTGACAAGAGAGGAAATAGTCAAAGCAGTACAGAAACTGGTTCACGATGAGAAAATATATTCTCACTTGTCTGCATTTTTATTTCATTCACTGAATGCCTTTGGAAGGTCAGTCATTAAAGAGAAAAAGGGAAGAAGTATGTTAATAGCTAGTGCTGATATGATGAAACTTAGATTTTGAACAGTGCAATTATGATTCTTTAGGAAACAGAGATTTAATACATAAATAAATAAAAATCAATAAATGCCATAATAAAACGATAAATGTGCATTGAACCCAGAACATGAGCCACTAGAGAGCCAAGTGATGCAGGAAGAAGCCAGCTCTGTCCACCAGCTGTCACTTCAATATGGATTTTATTAATTCTTGGGCATAGCAATTGGTTTAGCGAGAGAGCGTCCAAAACCCTTCTTCACTCTCATATTTCATACAGGGGGTGGGTTGAACTCCTTGCAATGTTTTATACAGGCTGCTGAAACCATGGCTTGTCATTAGCTGTAGAGAATGTAACAGCCTCCAGGCAGACTTTGTGCTCTTACTGCTGAACGGCTGCGGGGAGCAAACGGGCATAAAACAGCTGGCACAGCATAAGGAGTTTGCCCCTTGTCATTCAGAAGAGATCCAGAAATACCAAAAAGACTGGCTCTTTGATGCTTCCTCAGGTACAGGATCTCTCAGAAGAAAATTTTTCAGAGGTCTCAAAGACATCCATTTTGACACACACACCTTATCTCACCATTAGTTATTTTGGCAATGCTCACAGTGGGGACACCAGTGATCACAAGCACAGTGTGCCCCTAAGCAAAATAAAGGAAAACTGGCCATTCAGCATCACGTGGTCAACAGTCAGTA